CTAAGTCGCTTTAATGGCTGCTTTTGGGGATCGTCTTATTGTGTTCTTTTTGAGAGATAAACTGGTTTTTCAATCTTTCCTCAGAACTTTTCTACATGGCTTTCAGTCCAAGCATCCCTATCTTCAAAATTTTCCGCATTAGCTTTGGATACGAAGTTTATTCTTTTGAATTGGTGGAACCATTCCTGGTTATCATGCAAATTTTTGTCGATGAAACTACTTCAAATACTTATTTACTCACTTGGATACTTGGATGGCCCGTCTTCAATGGTTGTCCGGACCCGAGCACAATTTCCGTCTTTTCGGAGTTTTGCTGGCCTAGCCATTGCGGTTCTGTGGAGTCCGGAGGTCGGGCTGGCCAAAGTATGCCCCAGGTCTCACCTCCACAGGCGGTCGCCGGCCTTTGTGGGTTGGAAGGAGATTTGCCACCGTGCGACTAGTTTGATATCAGGACGGTGGTGGATTCTGAAATTGGTTTACTCTAGCTGGACTTCCTGATGGAAACGCCATACTCCTTCTCAGTTTGAGAGACCCTGCCGGCGGGGCGAATCACCTACTGTGTATCGCATCCCGACTCCCAAGACCACCTCCCAACCACGATGAGGCGGTAAACCGTTGGGAAAACTTCAAATAGATTTCATTTAAATTTGTATGTCAACGTTGCAGTTCGAATTGTGAATTATGATGGAAGGTGGATGTCGAGAGATAGAAATAATACTAATCTAGTCTATTAAGACATTAATATCTTTTGTAAGGTGTTCTAATTGGATTTCTTGATGTTCCCTAAGCGTACATCTTAAACGATTTGCTTAAGTGGACATTAGCTAACAACATAACTTGGGATATGACTCTGGTTTATTTACGAGCGTTGAATTTTTTGACCTGATAATTACAATTCTCGATTCCTATAAATAAAAACTTTTGCGAGCTTAGGGGAGTAGCTAGAGGTGCTGTTGTGCATGCGTGGCCCTTAGTTCGACTCCGTTCTCCGGTGTGATAAAAAACGTTGACTTGATAAATCGGCAACTCATAGTAAGTCACTATATCGGCCGAATATGAGTGTAGTCACTTCTACGATGTTTGATTAAGTTAAATGCATGGTGATGCCTCAGGGTTTCATCAATTCAGAACACATTATGCTTAATCTTGGGAGTAAGAAAAATTGGTCGCTTATGGGAATTGGAGGGTTTGACGCTTTTCGTTTTAAAATCTCAACAGTTTTTTCGCTTTCTGCAAGCGACCTGGTAAAAGTTGAAGGCTGGTGTTTCTTTTTAAACGCAGATCACGACGAATGATAGACGTTTCATACTGCAAGCTGTCGAAGGACTTCGGTTTTCAAGTTCACGTCCTGTTGACCTTGGTATTATGTTCAGGGAGGCATTTCACACTTCTTGTTCCCCCTTGGATGTAATTCACTGTCAAGGAGTGCTAGATCTGGTCCTGTTGAGACACCAATGAGAGGCAATTTGCAGATCTGTCGCTTCCTTCTTCCTCATATTTCTTTTCCAAGCCACTGACACTACCAAAGGTCAGCTACAGAATGCTCATGTATTGAGATAACATAAGCGAACAACCAAGCTGGGGAAATGAGTATGTATCAGAAGCGAGACGTTCAGTGGCTTTTGTGTTTACTTTGAATCATCAATTTTTTAACCATTTTCGAGTGAACTTCGACTCTGGCAGTTTCGAATTTTGAAGTTTGCTCTAATATTTCGTAACAGGAGTGATAATGATATTTTATTCAGGCTATTTCATATTGCGGAAGGTGACTCTATGTCAAATCACTAACTTGGTTGTGCTTCGATCCAGACGCTCGTTTTGAGCGTCCTTGGGTTTATTTCCTTGGGAACTGCAGTTAGTGAGCACAAAACAAAACTATTTCCCTTTTGTGTTTAACTTTTATTTACTGCCTATTATTCTTTCTTACAGCACCACTAAGGCTAAAAACTGGCTCAGAGCCAAAGCAAGGGTACCGGTGATGCACTGGGAAACACATGAGGCCCCGGGGAGAGTGATTTGGCGAACATCTGCATCGTTGTTGTTTGATTTCACTTAATATTCGATTGCGATTTCGACTGCAGCCTTAGCCTTATTGGTTTCAATGCCAATTTGTGGTTCCCAGGTGATTTCCGATGGCTGGTGACTGCTGATGGGACCGTTAGGTAGAAAAGTGGCTGGAAAGAAGCAAAACATGAGCACCAGTGGTGCAGTTTCTTACACGTGAGCTTTCAGAAAGGGGAAACGAGGTTTAGGAGCCTACTTGAGGTTCCGAGTTTTGTTCATACCCTAGTGTCATTGTGGTTGTATTTCTTTTTAATTCTAGTAGTTCGGTTTGAGAAATCCTCCAATCGCAACATTGTTATGCGCATAAGTGTAGGGTGGTAGATAGAGATAAGTGGAGATTCTCTTCTCATGTTCTTCAAATTTCCAACTTTCAATTTTTTTAAAAACTTGTTCGCAGTGATGGAAGCGTTTCAAGTCGCCAGAATTGATTGTCGATCCTTCGCTATTTCGTTTGATTCAATGATTCTTAGCGAAGCTGTCATTATTTTGGACGTGTCCTGGAACGATGTCGTTGAGGGCATAGGAACGGTAGTGAGCCCCTGCTAAGGGTTTCGTCGTAGTCACACCGTGCAGCAGCGGAGAACCGGACTCGAGAACGAGTGGCTGAGGCGTCGCCGACTCCCATCCCACCACACTGGACCTAATATTTGTCATGACGTCTCCAGCATTACTCATACGCTGTTTTCCGTTTATGCAGCTGACTCCGGCTTCAGAGTGTTTCTTCTTTCCCTCCGATTTTCTCCACTCGAGTGTTGTTATAAATTCTATATTTTGAGTCCATTTTAATCTACAGCTGCTTTTCTCCCTGCTTCCATGTTGCTGTTCTGAAGCTTTGCCGTCCTTCGTCCTTCCTTGTCGATGTTCTTTCGATGCCCATCTACAAACCAGTTTTGGAGTTTCTACTAATCGCTGTGACGTTTTGCTTCCAATCGTTGTTAGCTTAGTTTCCATATTGGATTCAGAATGTTATATAATAGGGGTAAACTCACTATCTTTTAGCTTCTCATTGCAACAAATATTTTCTTCCTTTTAGAACCTCATTTCTACTGTATTCATTTAAACACCCTCGTCATTTATTTCATTTCATAGTGGTACTGTGTTCTATGTCACTTGACTATCAATTGAAGGCCTTCCGAATTTCACTTCGATACTAATGAAAATTAATTACCTTATATTCATTCTTAGAGCGCGTATGGCGCAGTGGTCGGAGGCGCCTCGCAATACACATGGGATCTTCCTCGCGCCCAATGCTCACCAAACCATCCATCCTTCCGGGTGCAAGACTTTTTTGGAACTATAGCAACACTGACTCCATACATCGGTAGGCCAGCGCGAGCCATTTGAAAGACCAAATGTGCATTCAGTCACCTCCAGCGATGGTTCATGAAGCCGAATACATGGCTCATCCCTCATGGTTTGACCAATGCCGAGAGCTTTATTCTTGGCCTTTATATTAATCGTCTAAAATGCATGATCAATCGATATTTGTTAAAAAAGGTGAGCGGCAAGTCAATAAATCCATAGAAGGACATAATCGCATTTAGAAAATTGGAACAAAGATTCTTCCGAAAAGGTTCCACGAAGCAGACAAAATAATTGTACTACTAATAAGCCAGAGGAAAACAGGTTACGGTACGATCAAGAAAAAAGTAAGAAAACTGATAGCGTTCCGGCCACGAAGGAAACATCGTATGTGGGATTACCAATTCGTTTGTGGATAACAACACCAACGAAGAATTCAGGAGAAGCTGATTTGATAAGCACTATGTGCAGACTTCGAAAGAATCGCTGACGATTTGCTGGGTCCAGATCTCCACATTCGCCCATTCGACTCCGCTAGCGTTCTTGTGTCATGGAGAGAATCGATGGCTTTGCCAGTATTCCGATCGGATGAGGTAACTATGACATATGAAGTTAAGCCGAACTTCGTTTTTCAAATCGTTGTGACATGTATCCCATCATTCTATGCCAGCTGAGAGGACTCATGGATAGGTCTGTAATATGATGACAAAGGTCGACGATCGTCCTTTTTCCCTTTATTTTATTTAAATGAAATCTCATAGATTTCTTCTCAATTCTCGATTCTCAAATACAGCAAAAATCTCACGAATTATTTCACATGCAAGAAACCCAGTGCTGCTTTTCGATAAACTACTTGTGTTCCATATTTCTCTAAAACGTCTCTTGAATGGCTACTAAGATAACCTTGAGCTGTTCTTGTTTATGAGTTTTTGAAGTGATATCGACTTTTTGCTCCGCACTGAAGGGTTAAGTGTCGGCAGTTCTTCAGTGATAATTCGACTGCAATTCTCAGCATACGCTCTTCGTCGTGGCGTGGGCATCTTTTTCGTTCGAAACCGGTCTCTAAGGTGACCGCCATTTACATGGTCTTATTGCTTTAATGATTTCAAACAACTCATTTGTTTTTGATGATTTGATTCCATGTGTGTTCATAATGTTTAATGTTGATTCCCTTTTTTGTTGGAGAGAGGAATCACTCCATTTTGACCCTTACCGGTTTACCGTATGCTGCATTAATCGTTGAGATTTATGCTGGCGTTTACAACTGCAACTGCATTAGCGCTTGATTCTTCCGACGAAGTTCTAGTTGTTCACACAGTTCCAGGCTGAGATAGCAGCAAGAGTCGTTGTTAGTCGCGGATTTGCGGTCACTGTCTACCCTGTGTGATGTTACGCACATCGTGAACGAATACAGTTATGGATGAAGAAGAGGAGACAATAAATATACAAATTTTTGTGCCTGAAATTCAAGTTCGGGTGCGTTGTTTCTTTTACAGAACACCCTGGACTTTGCTATGTGATGCCCGCTTGTTCGTGCTTCTTACCGTTAGTTATAGTTACGGTGGCGAGCGCATAGTAGCTCTCCCTTGGAAACTGAGGAATGTAATCGTTGGCTGGCCACGTCATGGGTCTCGTCTTTTGTGCATATAATGGTCGTGCTTGATAATCTGTTTGTGGTGAAGATTTGCTTTCAGAAATGTCTCACTGTCGGGCTCGACGACTTCGTGTGGGATGTGAAGCGAAAACTTCTCGCCACACTGTCGCAGGTTTGGAGAATTTTCGTGTTTGGGAAGTCCGACATCATTTCGTCACTCGTCTTGCTGAAATACCAGCACTTTTCGTTATTTCAACAGCGAATATATGTCACTTTCCGATTCATAAGAGTTTTTATTTTGGTTTTCCGACTAAAGAAACTAGGAAATTCAGGTTTAGAACTCATTCTTTCATTTAGCGCGTCTGTTTGTCCTATAGCAGAGGTCAATCTCCCAGCTTTTGTAGAGACACTATGTTTTGATGAATTTAATCTCTACTTATTTTTCAGCCTTTGTCCCAAGCATTCAACTATGGTCTTTTCCTTCCACCTTGCGACGGACGAGCTGGAAAATTTCTTCTAGAGGACCGAGTTGTTCGCGACTATCCTTTCCACGACTGCGTGCCGTACTTAGAGGTAGCTCTTGTCACTTTTGCTGCCTAAATGGAAGGTTTCGTTTCGATGAGGTGGTTAACATTCGCTTACCAAAATATTTCTTCACTTTCTTCTTCCCTCAAGCTTTCATCCATCTTACATTAGACAACCGTTGTACCTATCAAGTCGAGAACTTTTCGGATGTTGTGAAACAAGTGAATAAAAACATTTCTATGTCTCTAATATTTACCGTTCATGGAAAATGATCGCAGAAAGTTCTTCTTCACCAAGTTGTCGAACGTGTCGCCCTTTCTTCATTGTTTTTCTTCCACTATCCCCTCTTCCATCTCTTCATTCGACTTCACGTTCTTCTGTTATCCTATCTTGATCAAATTCTCCCGATCGCTTCGTATCTGACTGCTTTTCGCCGCGTAACGAACACTCAGTTCACCGGCCGTGTTAACGTTCGTGCCGCCTAATGTGCTGTTTGTACGTCTTGGTGAGCGGAGACAAACAAGCTGAGATGCCTTGAGAAGCACAATCGACATGACGAAACTCGAACTATTCGTAACGGAATCAATTGTTCGTGCTTTCACTAGAGGAAAACATTCAGCAAACAGAATTAATGAATAGCCGTAGTTTCAAATGAGGCAATCAAGAGGAAAAACCTATTTTCACTTATACCCGTTTTTTAATCCACGCCATTTTCAGCTCAAATACAAAAAGCGGGTCTACAAAATGCTGAATCTTGACGAGAAGCATTTGAAAAGCATTCATAGCAAGGTGAGTTTTCACGATGATAATCACGGTAGTCGGAACTTTCGACCAGTCTCTAATCACATGATTTTTTAAGTACTTAGAATGACTTTTCGAAGAAGATGGTTATGCAGTAAGTCTACGGCAGCTTCAATGTTCCTACCCACATTCATTTTCCTATTGTTATTAGTTAAGAAGAGCTGTTGACGCAACCAAAATCCTGATCACCTACCAATTCTTCGCTTACCCCAGGCGGTATATCGAATAGAAAAGCAACTTCCATATTCATGAACCACTTTCAACACGGTGATATCCATCATGGTTCTTCTTCATTCTTTCTTTTCCTCCTTAATAATTTTCTATCTCCCTGCTTTGAAATGCTTTCATCTGATAACGAAATCGACATGTGGCGCACTACGGGAGGTAGAAGCGCATCATGTTGTACACTGTGACGAAAACCTTCAATTTGGGACTGGTTGTGGACATCTCTTGTGATGGATATAGTAATTAATGTGCAGGAGGTAAAAAGATAAGGAAAAAAATGGAAAGAACAAAAGTATGCATTTCATGGCCATCTCATGGATGCGAAGTCGTTCGCAGTTGTCTGGTTCTTACTGTTTGAAAATAAACTCCGCCATTTATAAAAGGAAAGGATTGACCATGACCACCACTTTACAAGTAAAAAAGAGGAGTTGATGGAGAAGATTGGCCCAATAAATGCTACTGAACGTTAAGAAGTCACTATCTAACCAAATCAAGCTGGTATTTATGCGCATACAACGGAGCCGATGTCACATCCAAGAAGATAACACAAGAAAAAATGTCCTCCAGATAACGAACTGGTTCGGACTTTCCTAACAAGCTAGTTTTGACTGCAGTCAAAGACGAAAGCTTAAGTGAGACCAAGCAATAAGGACATTTACAACTGCACTATCCTGCCTTGGAAATTTTATTCCCCCAAATGAAGTAATGGTAAGAACACTGTAATACGATAAGAGAAATGAGCAAAGAAAAACAAGCGGGTGGTTTAACTCTAAAATCTATTAATAGGACCTGTTTCTAAGCGTTCTAAAACTGATTGAATTGCTGAACGCCTTCTTCTTACGTAATTTAACTTGCTGCTCAGTGAAATCTGTGTAGGAAAGTTTCAAAAGAGACAAAAACAGTGTAACATTGAGCCTTATTCTCTTGCCATTCATTGCGAGTCAATCTTGACTTTATGTACTAACATTCGCTTAGCCTTGATGCGATAGTTTAGCATGCGCAAGGTTATTGTGAGGCGTCTACTCGACTATCTTGTCATTGTCATTATATTATCATCACCAATATTGACTACTTGCAGTCAACGCTGAAGAAGTTCATGGATTACGTGCAGTCGAAGAACGCCGAGAAAGTGGAAAAACTCTGCGCTCAGGGCTTGGACGCGAATTTCCACGACGCGCAGGTCAGTCAGGGATTGAGGAGATTTCATCACTAGATAACGTTTTCATTTCTATGTAGGAGCTGTTGAAGCTCACTTGTCGAGGAGTAGCGAAGTTGCCCACCGCTTCACGGTTGAATGCATCGGTTGTCATCTGAAAAAGTAAACTCTAGGAGTAACAATGAAGCTTCTAGTATGAAAGCAAAACCCTACTATACTTTGGAATGAGCAGAATATCAGATTAAAACTGGGAGAGTCTACAAATATGTCTTTATTAGTTTAAAGAGGTGAAAGTTGTTCGTCTTTGAGCAATTTCGGTCAATAGAACGATAGACCAAACCAAATCGAATGGACCTAGTAAGCAATATCATACCTTTTAATAGATGTAATTTAGCTTTTGTAGTTTAGTAATTATAGCAAGTTGTAGCTGCAATGTGATTTAGTGGTTTAGTAAATGAACGTAGATGGGTGAGTCAGGAGTGCTTGAAAACGCGAGACTTCTTGTGGTAACCGATAAAGTAAGATTTGTCAGCGGTTTGCTGCATCCGTGCTGGAAATAAGCTTTTTCGGTTTTAGGGCGAGACTCCACTAACTCTGGCGGCTGGAATCCCGTCTAATCGAGCCGTACTGGTCGCTCTTGTCGGTGGAGGAGCGCATATTGATTTCAGGAATTCTGAAGGACAGGTTTGTCATTCTTCTACGAAGGTTTCAACACATTTTCATTTATTCTGGAAAACAACTGCTACAAAAATCTTCGTGCAATAATTCATCTACTTTATAGGTAAAGATGGCTGTGAGTTACTGTAAGACACGTTCAGCTTTCAGTATATTATGGTTTATGTAGATACATAGATGTTCTTATCAGCCATTTCTTAAACAAATGTGGCTCCAGTTGTGTATTTAAAGTATGGCGGGAAAACAAGCCGTTAGTATGTTTTGGAAGAAAGCCGTATTTGAGAACCAATTCTTATTTTTGGTCTAACTGTTTGTCGAGGTGGTGTTTGCAGAACCACCTCCACAAATTCCAGCAGTTCATTTATAGAAATTTCCCTTTTTTTTTCCAATCGAAGGGTGCCAAAAGTTGATTTCAACGTTAAGAGAAACAGCTTTTGAGAAGGACAGCTTCGCTACAGGAGGCTGAGGAAGAACACTGCGATGGTATGGTCCAAAAAGGGATTTGTTCCGCTTCTGCTGTTCTTTAAAGAGTTTGGCTTAGTTTTCGAGGCTACATAGTTTCTGGCAAATTGATTTACTTCTACATTGTTCATTACAAATCCATGAGCGCTTTCCCACCCACTTTTCAGCGTTATGAGCGCTGACATTCCACTAGGTTTCTTGGGCAATAAGATGTTCGTAATAGGGACACCCGCAGCGAGTAGCGGATCTGGAGATGCGGCCAAAAACGCCACTTGACATCGATGTGAGCCGTGACGTCGGAAATCGGTTTCACAATAAAAATGATCGTCAACAAAGGGGAACAGACAGGAGATCGCGAACGAGCTGGGTGGTGTGGGAAGTCCGTATTTTAATGATTTTATAGCATGATATGTATATTTTTACATGTTCCGTCATCACATCTACTCTGCCGATTCCATCACTTCCATTCGATTCGTTTTCATCACATACATCGTCCGGAAAAGTCTTTTAGCATTTCGCCTGTAATTTCGGCTGCTGCTTGCAGATTTCACATTTTTATGAAAATCGTGGATTGCTGGTTGAGTCGATTCTCCATGTAATCTTGGTGTTAGCCGAGCTGAGGCGCTTCTTAGGTGGATTCGAGGAGAGCGTTAGGGAGAGGGCCGATATTATATATGTGTATGTATATATGTATATATATATATCTATATATATATATATATATGTATATATGCATCTTTCCATGACGTACGTCATACCAGTTTGGCGGCATTCACAACAAGAGGATAATTATCTGCTGTCTAGACGTCAACATAAATAAAGGATTGAGGAGAACGTTTCACTTCTTGTTGGTGGAGCTAGGTATTCCCACAAACATTTGGCAGGCAATCTTAGCTGAATGGCGAACGTGCTTATTTCTTCTTTGTCAGGCTATCTAGAAGCTATTAACCCTATGCTTCTTTCTAGAGCATAATCTATTAATTCACTTGCTGTTTGCTACATTTACTTTTACTTTAGGTTAAATTTCACGCGATCATCCAACGTGGATTAGTTACAAGCGAAGGATTTTGTAAACGAATCCGTTGCATTCTTTCTTTGATACGCTTGAACGAGGTTGATAAACAAACTTTATTCGGCTAACGTTTCGAGTTCTTCGTTGTTATCAGAGCCGATGATTCATTCTCTTTCAGATTCAATCATCTTTGTTGTTGATAGAAAAAATCTAAGGACGTCTCAAATTCCATCCTTGGTGAAATTTCCAGTCATCACTTTCTTACAGTGACTTCGTAAAACTGCGAAAATTCACTGTTGATTACCTTCCTATATTAATACGCGTACACCTTCTTTTCTTTTGTGGGAATGTACGGAAGCCAGTTCGGACAACTGGCATTGTAGCTATTTTTCTGAGAATTCCACCACTCATTGTGGTTCAGCCATGAAAAAGAACGACAATCGTGCACTAAATACAAATTTATATTTCTTAAACAAGTAATTACAGCAAGGTCACCCCATCGCATTACACTTTATTGAATGGACCGTTCATTTTAAAGCTAGTGCAAAACCATTCAAATGATTAAATGAAACACAACAATGCTGAGATATTCCCAAAACTTGGACCCCGAGCCAGATAAAATAAACATTGTGATTTCAGCTGCAGCCTTAGCTTAACTAAGTTCAATGCCGATGTTGGCTCGCCAGATCAGTTCCATTGATGGGTGATGGGTGATGGTGATTGCTGATGGCACTGGTGGATAGAAAAACTAGCCGAGAGAAATGCAAAACAAGGGGTTTCGTGGCACAGTGTGTAATGTGCTAGTCCTCGGAAAGGGAAATCGTAGTTCGATCTGGCCCAGGGTCCAAGTTTTGTGAATGTCTCAGCATTGTTGTGGTTGATTTCGCCTAGTACACTACTGCGAAAATTGTAGTAGGCAATAAATAAAAAATAATTTTGTGATTTAAAATAGTTCGATAGGTCGTCACGATGTTTTCGTTCCCACTGTTCTCAAGTTTTAGCTCTTAATCTATTCCCAAGTACGTACCTTCTTGGTTTGCACTATGTCAAAACGAATACTTCTAATTCCACTAAACCTTGTTTTGATGCAACACTAAGGTCTCTACGATGGCTAACATCGAATTTCACAATTCAAAGAAGCTTTCTAATTCATTATTATCAAATTATATTCAATTAAGTCGTTTCAGACGGCGATGCATAAGGCGGCATTCCTATCGTCTTACGATAACGTGGAGACGCTTCTGGAGTTGGGAGCCTCGCCGAACTATCGAGATCCTATTGGGCTCACCCCACTGTACTACAACATGCTCACCACCGACTCCAACGATCAGGTAGACTTTGATTGTCACTTTGCCTCTTACTACTTACCGAAAGAGGAGCTGGAAACGGTAGTCCCATAAGTCAATGATGTCTTTATGGATGAAATCTTCTAGCACCACTTGAATACCAATTTCTAAATTTTTTGTTACCACTACTAATATTCTTCAATACTTTTTAATCCAACAAATTGTGTCATTTCACTCGGAAGGATCCGTTTTTCTCACTTCTAGTTGTCGTTTGCTCGTTAGAATCTCGTCGGTACATTGTCCTTCGTGTTATCATCGTAGACCTTGTATTTTATCTTTATTTTTAATGCACATTTTTGTATTTTTAGGCATTTTTTATGAACATGTCTTCGCTGGAAATATAATAAATTTATGAGTTAATCGGCAATCGTTCTCCAACAGAAATCCAACCTTTTTTCTCGTTACAAAAATCAATACAAGACAAAAACCACTTATTTTCAGGTAGCCGAGATGTTGCTGAGAGAGGCAGCAGACTTAGGCGTGACAGATATGCACGGAAATCATGAAATTCATCAGGCGAGTTTTACTAGCAACTGCATTTAACATTTTAGCATTTCGCGTGTAATTTCGGCTGCTGCTTGAGGATTTCGCTTTTTTATGAAAATCGTGCTGGTTGAGTCGATTCTCCTTGTAATGTTGGAGCTAGCCGAGCTAAGGCGCTTCTTAGGTGGATTGGAGGAGAGCTTAGGGAGAGGGTCGATATTATATATACTAAATGCATTTAACATTATTTGTTTACTTGGATACTTGTATAGCCCGTCTTCACTGGTTGTGCAGGCCCCGTCATGATCTCCATTTTTCGGAGTTTTGCTGGCCTAACCACTGTTGCTTCCTGGAATCCCGAGGGCGGCCTGGTTAAGGTCCGCCTCAGGTCGTCACCACCACAGGCAGTCGCCACCTTTGTAAATCTGAGGGAGGTTCGTCACCATGCGACAAGTTTGATACCAGGACGGTGATTGATCCTGGTATTGGTTTACTTTTAGCTGGACCTCCTGATGGAAACGCTGGGCTCCTTGTCAGCTTGGGAGACACTGCGGGAGGGATTCGTTGTATATAGCAGCCCGACACCGAAGAACACCTTTAGGCCACGTTGAGGCGGTAAACTCGTATTTAGCATTAAATTAGGAAATGAAAAAAATAACGAAAAGGCTCATGCTGTTGTAAAATTGGCAGCACGGTCGGTAATACTTATTTAGTCGAACTTTCCTAGTAATCTGGTCTCCGACTTTAATATTCTAAGAGATTTTGCGCACCATTTGGTTAAAAATTGTTTTCCGAATAGAATGGAAAATTTCGGGCTTCACAAAGTGGGTCATCGATGTCTCTTGTTTCTTGGGCGATCTCTCATCCTGTGGTTGAGGTCCGCCTATTCAATGAGTATTCCTTCCCCTTTTGAGCTCTTCTGGCTTGAGATATCGATTCATATTAAAGCTGTTGTACGATAAAAAGTGGCGCGTATAGCGCCGCACAATGACCACAGGATCGGTCGTTCTTTCGATCTTACGGGGCTCACTGAGCTCTTTAACCACTCGTGGTAGGCAAATTGGTGCTAGATTTGTCTAGGAGGATAGCAGCACTAGCTTAATAGTCGGTGAGCCATGTGAAGTCTTTGCATAGACCTGATATACATTCATTCATCTCTTTTGTCTCATTTTTTACTGCTCATTTTTAGCTCCTTCAAGAGCCAGTGTATCTTTTTCAGTAAATAAGAACCCGCGCTTTTGAACTCTTCTACCTTATAATATCGCTTCTTGTAAAAGTTTTGGCGAGTTATGAAGAAGAAGCGCATCAATAATCGACTGAGTGGAAACGACGATGTTTTTCTTATAGATGTACAGTTCATACAGATAACTGTAAAAACTCTTCCGAAAAATAAAAGAAAGTACACTCTACTGAAAAAATAAAGAAGGATGAAGCTGTCGACGTTGATCAATCCCTGAGGGATGCGCCATGCATTCGACTTCACTAAGCATCGTTCGGAGGTGATTGAATGCATATCTGGCCTTTACAGTGATTCGCCGGTGGTCTAGCGATGAATCGAGCCAGTGCTGCTATCCTCCCAGACATGTCTGGTACCAATTTCCCGACCTCGGAGGGATGGAGGTCTTGGTGGGCTAGGGGGCAGGGATCGATTCCACTTGTGTGTTGCAGGGCGCCACCAACCACTGCGCCACACGAGGCCTACTGAAAAAAACACACTCACATCTTCTTCTGAGGAAACATGTGCCATGTGGACGACGTTACCTCTACTCATCAATGAAAAGGCTTTGGTTCTTCTCATCGTGTGTGTTTTCTGAGCACATCTGTTATAATTGTCATCTAAGCCGCTCCACTGAATGTGAAAAACGTGTAGCAAGCATGAGGACGGTGTGTAATCGTGGTTGCAGCAGATGGTCCGGAATTCCGTCTGCCCTCTTAGCGACTTCCTATAAGCCCTGGGAACCAGTTCACTTCACAACAGCAACACAATCGAATGGCTGCTCAGAATCTTCATAATAGCACAGGTTTCACATATAGACGATGCATCCTTTCTAGTATTATGTTCTCTTTGAATTTTGCTACAAGTGAGTCAAGGCCGCCACTCAACATTGGTCTTTAAGCTTTTTGGTACAATTCAGTTGCCTGTACCTGATGGTGACAACAAAATCACAGCTACGATGTAGGAATGACAGCATTTAACTAATACATGTTTTACAATCCTAGTTGTGTTTTTCAATCCTTTCGTTACTCACTACTGAAGAGGTTTTGCTGAATATGGGTTTTCTTTGAGCTACTCGACTGATAGATTTGCAACAGGTTCGTAATGGTGTAGTTGTGAGCTTCTGAGAAATTCATACTATTGCAAGTGTAATCAGAACGTTTTACTTTTTTTAACGTCATTCAATGAAAACCAATAGACGGTCACCAGATAAGCCCATACCCACAAATGCATAGTACGTACATGTAATGGAGCTGCCGCAGACATAAATTCTTTCTGAGAACTCTCATATAGACGGCGTTTGACTACCAAGACGTGTCCTCTTCTGACACTGAGGCACTGAGTGTATTAGCAAGCAAACCAATCAAATACAAGAAATTCTGAGATCCACATGATAGATGTGATGACAGGTCATCTAGAATAAATAAAAAAAAAGTACTTAGAATCAGAAGCACATTTGGCGAAGTGATTTCAATCTCCTGCAGTGCACATGTGGCATTTCGGTTCAATCTCGTGCTCCAGGCAAACAAATACCTTTATCTGATTTGTATTGGACTTGTTTGGAAGGATAAAAACACAACTTGGTTGGTCGGTAGCTGTCCTTCATTGTACAGAGCAAATATGCATTCAATATATGATGCTTAATGGAGTTGAGTGCATGCCACATTCTTCAGGGATTGTTCAGCGTCGAACGCTTTGTACTTTATCTCATCATCGAATAAGTGGACTGGAAACGTATCACTTCTTTCATATGATCATCGAATTCCCCTACTGTACAGCTGGACCGCTTCATCTGCATAGTTGGTGCCGCGGTTAGCTACGCCATTAGTAGCTCGGTGGTCTGTTTATGAAAAAGGAATTATTTGACGCTTCCAAGCTCTTGTACAATAAACCCTAAAATGTGTTTCGAGGGTCGTAAAAGCGCATGGCCTCTGACTAAGGCTTTTCTTGAGGACCAAATTTACCTCATCAAGTTCGTTCTCATTATGGTTTTGCTTCCACTTACAAGCACTCAGAAGAGAAGAAAGAGCACGAAAGAGAGAGAGAAGGAGGACGAGTACGTGTAGAGTCTTACGAGAAATTGTCCACCTCAACGTACAGTTCTTTATGCAGGAATTACATGCGCAATCGTTACCAGGAATTACAAGAAGGAGAAAAGCATTGGTCACAGTCACACCAACGGTCTGCGCGCCACGAAAGCGTGCATTGTTGACCAGAGATGTCCTCAATTTTGCCTTTTCACAAAATTCCGCATATTTTCACAAGACCTGTCCTTCGCATCTGCTGTGCCGATTTCAGCACTTCTTGCACTTGTTTCCTTTTCTCGCTTTCATCATCCATGAAGTTCTTTCAACTTTTTGCTTGTGGGTTCAGCCTCTGCTTGAGGATTTTTCGTTTCGTCATGAATATCGTTGAATGTTGGTCGAGTCGATTCTCCATGGAGTCCTGTAATTGCCGGAGTAGAGCGCTTCCACTATGATTGCAGGGAGTTCACCTTTTCTCAGTAAGTCCGGTATCAATCTGGATCACGAATTGATGAGAAGCTTGGCGAGGTGGAGGTGGGGTCGAACTAGAACTGTGCTCGCCATCAGTAGCAATGCACTACAAACTATTTCGTGACACTATTTGCTTCCCAACAAGGTGGTACTGTAAGATATTTAATACAAAGCAGCAGCGAGCAGTCTCTTATTTATTCAAAATTTTTACAAAAAACAGTCATAACCCATTTCTATACTAAATCGTTAGCTTCTTACTTGGATACATGGATAGCCCGTTCTCACTGGTTCCTCTGTCCCAGCATAATCTTCATTTTTTCGAAGTTTCACTGCCTTAGCCACTGTGGTTCTCTGGAGTCCCGAGGTCAGCTAGGCTATAGTCTGCCCCAGGTCATCACCATCATAGGTACTGGTCGCACTCGTAGATCAGATGGAGATGTACCACTATGCAACTAGTTTGGCACCAGGACAGAATGCGTAACGGAATCTGGCATTGGTGTACTTTTAGCTGGGTTTCCTGATGGAAACTCCGGACTTTTGCTTAGCTTGGACGATCATGTAACGGGGATAAATCTCCCAGCTGTAAATCGCACCCGAACACCCAGGAACACTCTCAGCCACGATGAGGCGGTAAACCATTAGGAGGGTCGTTATGCGGATAACACGAAGTTATCTCTGTTCTTTTTAGAATTTCCAGTTTACACTCATTTGACCACGATTAATATTCTTAGAACTATTACTTATTAAATTAGGCATATTACATAGTCCTTGAGCGGTGAAAATTGTGGGGACAGTTCGTAGTAATTATGGAATAAGTTTTGTTAAGGCACGAAACACGCCAAAGGGTGGAACGTTTCGTTGATCAGTCTCTTAGGTATTAACCATGCATTCAAACAATGACAAAGAGCGGCTGGTTGTATATTTCGTCTATACACGACTTAAGGTGGCTTAGCGCTGTACCGAGTCAGTACCTCTATTCTTCCGGACCAACATAGTACGAATTCATCAAGGGAGGAAGCGTTGTTCAGTCTATGGTGCGGGATTGTACGAAACATTACAGTGTGTATTGCGTGAAAACCTCTAGCCACTAGGCTACGCGTTCCGTTTGTTCCTAAGAGTAGAAATAGTAGTATCCAACGCTACATTGAGGTAATACTCATACCTTTCCAGTACCCGAAATTTTTCTTTCATTGTCATCTCCTCGTTATAACTCAGAAATCTGATTGTAGGCCTGCAAAAATGGATTGGCTAAGCATGTGGAACATCTTCTTTTCTACGGTGCCGTCGTCGACGCGGAGAACGTGAATGGGAACACGCCGCTCCACGTCTGCTCCGTCAATAATCGGTGAGCTTTTGAGGATTTGGTTTCTTGCCGTCGACCTTATGCAGTCTTTCTAATGTTCTCGATAGCCCAGATTTATTTCAAAGCGTAAATCAAAATGTAGTGGAAGCTATAGTGAGAAACTTTTTCGGAATTTACATAGGGAGTTTTTGACGTCATTTCTGGAAACTACTGCAGTTTTTAATGTTCTTGAAGAAACGAGATATTGTAATAAAGTTAAATTGTGCAACATTCGACAGTGAACAGTCAGCAATCAGAAATGTACAAAAACTGTTCAGAAAGCTCATTGCAAATGTGATTACTACAAATCTAGTTGCTGGTAAAGCTGGGATTTCGGCAATATCGCCCTCTTCAGAACCTGGAGGGGTATATCGACCATGTGGTCATGTGATTACCATTTAGATTTTAATTTTTCTGTTTGTGTTAGCGGAGCATTTGGCGTAATAAATTGCGTATCTTTCGCATATCCTTCCAAGCTCTAAAGAAGGCTATACTGCTGAAGCGTCAGCTCTACCGGAATTAAGAATAAAGTAACAGCTTATGTTTGCTCAACAAGAATATCGAGAATTATTTGATCAGTGCCGAGGTAAGAAGAAAGTTAGTTGTGGGAATTAGAAATTCTGGAATACGACACGGGATAGAGTCGAAATCTCGCTTCTGATTCGTCTTCTAAAGTACGTGATCAATTTCTATAACTTGTATTATGTCACAAAAGCACCTGGTCGTAGCCGGTATATCTGACTGTGCTCACCATTCTAGCACGACAGATTCCTGAGATTCACATTGATGAGTTTCAGACCCGAGTGCGCTCGAGTGCTTCTGTTCAGAGGTGCGGATCACCTGTCGGTGAACAAACAGGGTCAAACAGCTCTGCACGTCGCTCACATCGTCGGTACCACGGCCGTCGCTGAAATTATCGCCTCGCACAATCCGTCCAATATTGGTCAGTTCATTTCCTCATTTTTTCGATTATTGGGTACTTACGAATCGTTCTAACATTTCTGAAGTAGTTTAGGAGTACAACGTTGCTTTAAATCCAAACCCTAAAAAAATAATTTCAGTGCCTTATCGCGGCACTCCTCAGTACTCGACACGACGGCGGTTGTCTTCAGCTCTTTCCAAGCGCCGTTCACTCAGTCAAACATCTTTATGTAGTCAGGACATTTACGGAACTCCCAAAGAGCAGCGAAGAAAAGCTCCTTCAGTTAGTGGAACTATTCCAGCACTTGGCTTACCTGAAAAACGGAAATTGAGTTTTTGAAAACAAAGACGAACAGAAATGGTTAACCAAAGCAGCTTTGTAGGAATTAATGCTTTCCTAAAAAAGATACCAAATTCTGAACAACTTTCTACCATGGTGCTACCTATGACATATGATTGCAGATCATCTGGTCAATCAATGAATTTGACCAGCCATGTGCTGTAAAGGGAATATTGTAATGTATATGGAAAATTTTTCGTGTTATTTTAGGTTGCCCCTTCACCTACGCCATCGCGCATTGGCCGATCATCCGTTGTCCCATCAGATTACGGCACTATGCGGATGTGTATTTCTGAGATGGCTCCTGGCCATGAAGCTAACGTGCCACGAATCCTGGTAATTCCCAGAGGTCCAAAGGGCTTCGGATTCATTCTAAGAGGAGCGAAACGTCTGTTTTAATTTATCGATTCTTTCTTCGGATTTTCACAGCAATCCGATGAAGATGGTGGTTTGTAGATGTGAATTCTTCATTGAATTTCGAACCAACACTGTTGTCTCCGGCTCTCCAGTTTTTCGAAGGAGTTGATATGTCAGGAATGGCGATGCGGGCAGGACTGAGACCAGGTAAAAACAAAACTTTTCTAATAACGGGATTCTGTCGGATTCATATTTTATGAGATCTTATCTAATTCATCGAATTAGGGATAAACGTAAATAATCAGACGTTAAAGTTAAAATTCAATACCGTCTTGGATTGTTAAGCTTCCGAAAATTAAAATTCAATGGTTTAAGAACATCATCGTGGCTGGGGAGTGCGCTGGGGTGTAGAACTGCAATACGTATCCAATTTTATAATCGGCAGGGTGACTTGGGTTGAGGAGGAGTTTGAACTTTTCGTCCAGGACTCCAGTTAAAAGCCACTCAGTGCTAACAAACTGGTAAGCTTTCCTCCAATCCTCATGTACCGATGAGAGTCCTTGGCGGTTATTTGTGACGCTTGTTAGCACTGTGGAAACATACTGTTACCCACACGGTTTTTCGTGATGTACTATCGTAGATAATTGCAAACTGTTGCGTGAATACTCCATCTGTACGAAGAACGCTGCGAATCCTAGGACGTTTCTCACTTAGTATATATACGGTTTGACAGTTGCTCTTCGAGTTTCATGCCTAGGCGTTCTCAAGTTATCATTGTGGGAACTCGCGCACCTTACTATATCGGGAGGATTTACACCAAATAAGGCATCTTACTGGTACATTTCGTCCGGAATAACGGCAATTTTAGCGTTGGTTTGATTTCTAGCCATGATTTCCACTTATAAATTTCAAGTCCTTTCTCAGTCTGTGCACCATACTATTGGGCCAACATCTGGGAATATCATTCGCCTCGATGATCTGAAAGATCATCGTGGGAAAGGGTTCAGATGTCTCGAGGAAGGATTTCACATTTATGCGCGAAACACTTTGAATCTGCTTCGCATATGATGTTGTTAGAACAAAGTGAAGTTCAAATGCTTCGGAGCCCACAGGCGAGTCGAATGGTCAGAGATGAGTTTGATTATGGGAAACAAAATATGAGAATGTGAAAACGAATAGATATGGTAATTTTCTCATGGAATAATATTGATGGATCTAGGTGACTATTTGCTCGAAATCGACGGGATCGACGTGAGGACTGCTAGCCATGAACAGGTTGTGCATCTCATTCAAAAAGCAGGGACCACCATAACTTTGAAGGTTCATAAACGATTTAAACGGATTTAAACGGATTTAAATTCACTGAGCTACTAGAAGATCTTTAATGCTTTCTAACCAACATCTTTAGTGATAGAGTAGAGATGGATATTATTCCTACTTTTTAAAAATTATTCTCATGATTCAGTTTTCGTTCTCATCAAAGTCTTCTTAGGTGATTACCGTTGATCCGTCACTTCCAATCAATGGAGGTACCGTTCCCGTCAGACATCGATCAGGTTGGCAAACAGCTTCATATTTTTGTTGAAATGGCTTGCCTATGTACAAGTTTCTCGCCAGTACCATATACTAGATATGGTAGTGGATCCGCCTACGCATTTTAGGCAAAAACATTCTGGGTATACGCTACTTGCTTGCTTTTCTGTACACTGCTTGGCTTGTGACTTTGCTCATCGTTTTGAGTTCTGGGATTCCTTCGGAAAATGCAAATATTTGCTAGGCGTTAAGCGTCTGTCTCTATCGTATTTGCTAAGAAAATCACCCTGATTTACATCTCAGCATACAATTTCCTTTCAAAGTGTAGCATCGGGTAAACACACGCATCGACTGAACCATGAAAAAATTTTCCACTCTTTCCTTCCGGATGAGGCCGGAGCAAACGGAAATGATAGTTCACTCTATTATCTCTTTCATTTGTTGCCTTCTCGCTTCTCTTCTAAAATGGAACACATCGGCGTTTACAGTCAGCAGCATTTTCGTAATCCCACCAGTGCCACCAACTCGACGTCCCACAACTACAGCATCGCTTCGAGGATCCTCGAGTCTCTACGGAATGACTGGTAATCTATACTTTCATCTAAATGAGTTTCAACTCCCATCATTGCACCTAGGGAGTAATTTTGTAAACGAGCTGTCTACAAGTAATATTTCTGAAAAGGATAGATGTATGTGCTTTTTCACTAAAGCGACTTTAAAGAATTAATTTCTCCTCATTTGAATGATTTCTTAGTGCAACCCATTTAATTGATTTCCTACCAAAGTACCGTCTCTAGCAGCTGAGGTGTGAGCTTGATAACAATCAACTTTCAATCAGGTTTAAGTACCTTCGCTTTCCATCAGTTGATTTCTGCATGTCATTTCTTGGAATATATGAAGCTTAGCTAGTGTTAACCTGTCTCGTTTTCCCTATATCCAAAGGAATGAAATCGTCAGATTGTACTTTTATGTACTTTCGTTTCAGGAGAAACGGAATATTATGCTCCTGGTCAACTGCGTTCCGCCTATGGAGAAACTCGATGTGCCTCTGTAAAACAGAGGCATGGAGCCGGAAGACGAATCTCAGCAGCTGAGCTCGAGAATCTCATGATACGTCAGGGGGAGCGGCAGAATTATCAGCCCATACTCTATGACCAGGTAAGAAGAAAAATTGAGTCCGAATTGCTCAAATAGTTTAAGTCAAAGATTCTATTTGAAATTACATACATTGAAACCGCCACTGTCACTGTAACCTTTTGTAAGCAGGATTCAACTGGCTCTCCGACTCCAAAGAAATACAATTCTGTCTCGGATATGAAGCGTCGTAAACAGAGAACTGTTCCTTCACCACAGGGACTAATAAGATCGTACGACTCTCAGGTGTCTTTTACCCTACTTCCTCAAACATAGTTCAGCCCCAATAGGCTTCTGTTTAAAATAGTTTGTCTTCAAGAAAATAGATCAAATTCTCAGTTTTCAGAACACTCAGCCTATAAACTCGATCTACGGTTCTTCGATGAAGACGTATTCAAGTTCACCGGACATCCCACACCTGACTTCTTTTGATTCAGCTGAGGAGGAATTGTTGTCAAACACTTCACAGCCTGATGATAGACTCGGATATGAGCAGCAATGCCAAAGCGGGTATTTCCATTCAGAGGCTGGTTACTCAAGACCATTTCGGAACGTTTTCCGGCCGAAAACTCCGCCACCCCCACCACCTCCTCCACCACAGACATCTCTATCCTCCCAACCTACCACCCTTCAGAGTTCCAGGTTTGTAGGCAATGAAAAATAAACCTTTATTTAACATATTTTTGAATTCTTCGTTTTTAGATTAACGTCATCCTATGGCGTTGATGTCAGTCAAAAACCAACCGGTGAAGAGAATTGCTTTCGTGTCGCCGCTGCTGCTAGTATCGACCCTTCCTCAGGTCCAGCAATTCTTCCGCAATCTCTCTCAGGCGAGAAGACACTTTTAGAAAACAAAATGTGTAGATTTTTGTGTAAAATGTGTAAAAAAAATTCGAAAAAAATGTGTAGAGTTAGAAGACTGTTTGATCTACTAAATATTCTACTGCATTAGCATGTTAAAGATGGGCGTTGAAGTTAGGAAATCTTGAAGAGACCTTGTTTGTCAATTCTTCTCTAGGAATATCGTTAATTATTATTTGTTTACAGGTTATTAGAGTCAGGAGCTGATATACTAAGCCAACAACCCCTTCTAATGTAACGTTTTTGTCCAATCTATTCTTATAGGTGCTGGTTCAAATATAGCTCCACCCGCTCCACCACCACCACCTCCAAATTTGTTGAATATATCTTCTACATCCACCACTTCGGTGGGCATCACGAAAGCCGGCATATCGGTGGAAGCAATTCGCTCAGTGGCCCTAAAGAAAAGAGAGGTATGGATTTTAATAAATTTCGACTTAGTGAATACTACCACCGTCGTGTTGAGATAATTGGAAAATTTGAACCCCAGCCTCACCAGATCATTCCCGTTGGCGGCTGATTGCTGATGGCAACCGTTAGGTAGAAAACTGCAGAGCGAAATGTAAATCAAGGGCCTTAGTGCCGCAGTGGGTAACACGTGAACCCCCGGAACGGGGCGTAATAAATTTCGACTTAGTGAATACTACCACCGTCCGAATCTGGCCTGCGGTCCAAGTTTTGCAAATATCCCAGCATCGTTGTGGTTGCATTTTATTTCATACACTACCGATAAGCACAATAGTAGGCAGTAAATAAAAAAGTTAGCATTAGTCAATACAACCCATATTTATTTGAGCGCTTTCAATTCTTAGGGTCTATGAATTTAGCCTGTTACCTAATCAACGCTATCGATTTTAAAAGTACTCTAATAAACCTATTTTTCTGCTCCCTCCTTTAGAAAAATTTTAAGGGTGACGAGAAGAAACCAAAAACAACAGCTGCATTGACACCTAGTGGGCCACCAGACTTTCATTCGGATTTAAAGAACGCTCTCGCGAAACGTAGGTCGAAGGTTGCTCTGGATCAGGACGATGACGAGAAAAGTGATGTTGAAAGGTGAAAGAACGTCTCCATTTATGTTTGCTTTATCGCTTCCTCTGTTTCTGTTCCGTCTGATCATTATAAAGAAGGATTTGCTATAACGAGAAATATGGGCCTACCGTTTATCTATATTTGACGTGTAATAGTTTTCCTCTTTTCTCAATATCCGCTTGATACAAGAGCTAACGAATATGGAAAGCCTAATAGCTTAGTAGAGCAACTGCCGAGTTCATTCAACGGAAAGGTTTGCGAATTTAGCTGCTCTAATGACTATTTCTCTATTCCAGTCATTTTGGAAGTCTATCACTACGTGAATCGGTCAGAGAAAACGTACAGCAGAAAGACGTCAAACAACATTCACCACCCGGAATTGTGAACAAGAAGGACAGCGGGTAAGCGCTCTCCTACGATGCGAGCACAGCTTTTGATATCCTTGAAAATTTTGCGATACCTCTCTTAGCATTATATGAATCAATTCATTGTGTTTAGCAAACATCGCTAGTAATTTTCTCATGGACTCATGTTCTGTCGTTTCCGTATAGAAGAAATCGCTGTTGAACATGGGTAATGTTGAAGAACTTTCAGCTAGACGAAGCAGTGCAACAAACAATATGTCCTATATTGGATTGTTCAGCGTGAAATTTCCACTTTTGAACAGGAACTTTAGGGGTCCATAGCTTTTAATAAAGTTGAACTCTGTCGGTCAAAGTAAGAACTACTGTAATAATACGATTTCGTTATAGTGAATAGTACATCGCTAATGAATGATATGTCATGTAAGATTAAATGAGGCGGAGCTTCGTACTTCGTATTAGGCTTTTCATGTTACGAACTTGGTCTAGTCAGTTACAGTTTTGGAAGCATATGTATTATTCGTAGTTGTTGTAGTTGGTAGTCCTCAGCTCGATTGACTCTGCCAGGAATGAAAGACTCTTGGTGGATGCTTTCGTCTACCGATCGCTGGAAGGATCATAACCTACTTCTAACACAAGTTTTTCTCCGTAAAGTGTGTCGGCAATTCATTTCTTCTCTACGAAAGAGCAGAACGTCGCCATCGTATAGTATCTCCTGTTTAATCGAATTTTTCAAGCGACCACCAGACTGAAAATTATTCATTCCGTTAAGAACGCAGAAGAAACATCTCTTGGACAACTTCTCTGCCATTCATTTAATTCAAAGAAAATCCACTTATCAAAAGAAACTTTTTGAGTTTTATTTAACAAGAGGCGCTCGGATGCAAGAGTTCTACTTAAAGCCTTATTCCGTCAAAAGCTCTCAATGTGGGGTACGTGTATCAGTTACAGTTACCGTCTTCAAAGCACCGTTGATAGTAGCTCGTCCTCAGTCTACCATCCATCTTCTTGCCTTCTATTCCAACGATTTTGAAGTTCACAGGCCACTGAGCAACGTCCATATAACAAACGGTTTCCATGGCCCGTACCCGTATATCAGTGCGAGGAAAATTTACCCATTTTTCATTTTGCACTTTACAGCATGTCCTAAACCGAAAACAAATCAGAAACAGTATAGAAATATGCTTTAATGTGAAACTGCGAAAGAAGATCTGTTTTTGAAGTAATGTGTAGATAGAAAGATAAAAAGCTGCCGGCGTTGATCAATCCCTGAGCGGTGCGCCATGCATTCGACTTCATTAAGTATCGTTTGAAGGTGCTTGAATGCATATCTGGCCTTTACGATGACCCGCGTTGAGCTACCGATGTATCGAGCCAATGCTGCTATCCTCCTATACAAATCTGGTACCAATTTGCCGCCCTCGGAGGTATGGAAGGTTTGGTGGGCCATGGGCGCGGAGATCGATTTCACGTATGTGTTGCAGGGCGCCTCCAACCACTGCGCTACACCAGCCCAATATGTAGAACAGAGATAAATAAGATTTATCGGCAGTAAACAATTATGGCGACGGAGATGAAAAAAATTGCCCAAACATTTCGTTTTTATAAAGTCGCACATTTCGTATTGATTAACCTTATACATAGACTGAGGGTGGTTTCATCAATGGATGAGAAAGGAGCCTCCACAGGCCTTCAGGTGTTCAAAGACTTCGTAGTCGTTAGGATGCTTTCTTTTGTTCTGTCAGATTCACTGTTAAAAACTGATTGTGATTTTTTTATTTTTAGCCTATGCATGTGTTTCCAGAATTCTCGTAATTTATTGTTAATGGTTGAATCTTCTAATGTCGTATTTCCGATTTCTCGTAGAATAACTGGCTTCATAGACTGTCTCCTTTGGACACTTCAACATATGCGTCTCGGACTATCTCTCTCCGCCTACGTGATATGTCCCATTTTTAAGGTTTTTGTAGGAAAATAAGTCCACGAGAAGGTTCACGACCACTGCTCCGTAGTGTGAAGTTCTTAGCGGGCTTTTCTTTTCGACAATGGTGACGTAGTTCTTCTTATAGCTTGGAGTGCTAAATACATACGATTTCGTATCGTTCTTTGAGTATACGCACAGGGGCTTGTTCTGCGTGCCAGTAGTTCCTTTCTTACTTTATCGCGGTCGGATGAAATCAATCGGCATCGTAGGATGCGATTCGTCTTTGAAGCGCATTGGTTCGTAATGGGTCGCCAATGTAGAGTTCCTTGAATTGCACATTGAGGGGTTTTCAATAGTTCTGCTTTGGTTACAGTGCTGCGTATGACGTTTAGAACCTTATTTACTACCAAGCATAGGACGCAATTGTCTTCCATATAGTGATGGATATTGTTCTTGTCGTGATGATAGTTGGTGTACCCCGTCCAGAAAGGAGTGGTCTCGATGCTACCAGTTATTGAGTTCATTAGCTGAAATGCTGTATATCATTTCAAGGTCATCTGATAGCACTTGTGATAAATATCTCGTGTGCTCGATGCCTGATTTTGACTTTGTTTTGCTGTTCGACATATTCGTAATGTTTGCAGTGCTTTTCGTCGAAGGTCCTTCATATTTGCTGTGGAAGCTGCACGTCATTCACTTCTATTTTTACTATTTTATTCTTGAAATTATTTAATATCGCTTGTCATACAGCGTACGAAATGCTCGTTGCCTGCTTAGAGTGAAACTTTGTGCTCATCCTTATGAGAACTTAATACTTATAGACTTCTAGTGAACATCTGGGAAAATTTATGCATTGATAGTTACGTTATTCATAGTTACTCATAGAAGTGTTTGTGTATCGTTGAGAACACGCCCGCCAGGTGTATCTCTAAAATACTCGGTTAACCATGTTTTCGTTGATACGTCTTACTCTTTACATTATTAATTATTATTGATTATTATTATTGTTATTATTAATTATTATTATTCCTCCCACCGGTTTACCGCCTCATCGTGACTGAAAGGTGTTCCTGGGTGTCGGACTGCGATGTACAGCGGGGGGATTCGTCCTCTCCGGCATGGTCTCCCAAACTAGGGAGGAATCCGGTGTTTCAATCAGGAAGCCTAGCTAAGAGTAAACCAATACCAGGATCGACCACGGTCCTGGTATCAAAATCGCATGGTGGCAAATCTTTGTTTGATCCACAAGGGCTGCGACTGCCTTTAATGGTGAAGACCTGGGACAGACTTTGGCCAGGCTGACCTCAGGGTTCCAGAGAACCACAATGGCTTAACCAACAGATCTCCGAAAATGGTGATTATGCTGGGGCCCGCACAACTAGTGAGGACGGGCCGGTCAAGTTCAAATATGAAGTATTACTATTTTTATTATTGTTATTATTATTATTATTATCATTGTTATTAATTAGTAATAGCGCATGTGGCATAGTGATTAGAGATGCCTTGGAATTATCACAAAGATCGGTTGTTAGTTCAGTTTCACGCGCCGGGCTTATACCAAGCCTTCTATTCTTACAGGGTTGGCAAATTGGAACTAAACATCTCGGGAAGAATAAAACCAATGAATTGATACATCGGTGGGCCACCGAAAGTTATTATATAGGTCAGATGTGCATTCAATCATGTTTACGATACTTGTGTCCTTCAGGGAATATTGAACGCCTAACGCTTTATCCTCCATCATTCACACTTTTGATCGCTGGGTCGTTACAAACCAACCATGTCTTTGTTATCCTATTAGATCTTCAATTTTATATCGAAGGCTATTAAAGTTATTTGAGGGGGTGATTTCTACCTCCGAGATCCCCAATTTTCATTGTAGAAGTCATTCGCCATTGTGTATCAGAGAGAAAGTTCTTGACTTGGGAAGAGCTATACCAGGACGTCAGCGATGGCTATAAATACCGGTCAACCGTTATTGTACCGAAATCTATTGTACTGAGTCACATGTAACATGATATGGAAACGATATCGATAGTTGCTGAAGAGATATCATTGGCAAATGGCTTCATCAAATAGGAAGAACAATGGCTCATTTGAGCAATATAAACCAGTGCGAAGTATAAGATGCTGGAGAATATTTCTTCAAGTAGAAAATGAAGGGAATAATATCTACATTATCAGCAATGCTGTGCTCGTGTAGCGCAGTGGTGGGAGTCGCCCTGCAACACACACGTGGAATTGATTCCCGCGCCCATAGCCCACCAAACCTTCCATCCCTCCTGGTTCGGCAGATTGCTACTAGACTTGTCTAGGAGGATAGCAGCACTAGCTCGATACATCGGCAGGCCACCTCGAGTCATTGTAAGAGCCAGATATGCATTCAATCACGCCCAAACGAGGCTTAATGAAGTCGAATACATGGTGCATCCCTCAGGGACTAATCAACGCCGAGAGCTTTTTATCTTTTTATCTACATGTTAACGGAGCGGATAGCACAGTGGTAGTTATGTTCGTTATCACGAGCATGGTGCTAGTTCGATTCTGCTCCAGGGCAACCAAGCCTCTTATCCCTCCGGGATTGGGAAATTGGTACCGGACTTCTCTGAGAAAAAGTTACTCTCCGCAACCAAATTGGTAACGCTGCAGTCCGGCGGTGAGAGATTTATCCTTTCTATTAACAACGGAGTTCATTACAGTGTTTAGTCACTTTAACTCCAAGACGAGCGTAAAAATATGTAAGATCCTGAACGAAATGCTATTTTGACAACAAGATATAAGCTTTTACAATGCGAGGCATCTCAATCACGTTGGATGGGCTATTTTTATTTAAAAAAGTCACCAACAATTCACCATGTATTTTTTGAAGACATCACTCAGTGCCCTTAAAATCTTTCCTATAAACAGTGTAAGGTATACTAAGTCAATCCCCTTCCAGAGTTCAATTTCGCTCAAGCTGGTCGTATCACTGTTTGTTCACCACTATGTTAATTCTTTTTGTGGGAATTCAAACACTGATTTCCACTCGACTGCGAATTACACGTGTTTTTAAAGTGTTTTCACAACAGTCACGAAGAAATTACAACCAGAATTGTGGGCTTTTCGTGGATTTCATCCAAAGATCTATCGCTACTCAAGCACGTACTGAGCAGTTCACAGTTGAACTTTTTCAGGTACACTTCTTCGCGGACGTCATTGGAGCCTTCAGAATTCGGTGAAGATCGTGCGGATCGCCCTCACTTCTCCATCGACACCTCCACAACGAGGCACAACGTGTCGCTGATAAGCCAGAACATCGAAGACAATTACGGCCCTCGGAAGAACGTCGACAACGTGCGTTTCCTGGGTCTGACATATCGAAAAACTGAGAGATCCGTGTGAAACATTGCAAATATAAAGATTTTTTTGATATAGTTCTATGAAACCCGTTCGTTTCAATGTTGGTCTGGTTTCCGATGCATGTTTTCGATTTCATTTTGATTCGTGAAAAAATTCCCTAAAAGCCATTTTCTTCCCTGCTTTTCATTCCATTATCGGGAGAGGCTTTCTTTTTGGGAGGCTTTTCGAGCTTGTCATCGTAGCTGAGTCTTTCGCTTGTTTGACTCCACTTCGTTGTGTTTGCATGTGAAGTGGTGATTTAGATGTCCGTGTCTTCTACGCTGAGTAGTCTCTCCGGTTGCTCGGCCGAATCTCGTCCAACAACTATTCCTGTGGTGCCCCCGGTAGACTATGACGATCCGGATTCCGGAACCGGCGGCTCCGATTGCGATGTTCAAAGTAAGGATCCGGATGTGCTGTCGCTTTTGTTTCAATGGTTTCTCTCTTTTTGCCTATCTTTTATGCTTCCCTTCAAAGAAAAGGCAACGAGACATGAACAATGTATGCAACGACTATACTTTCCAAAAATCTGTTCGACTTAGTATAATATTAATCAATAATAATAATAAAATAATAATAACAATAGTAGCATTTTTTGATCCAACAATGCCCTTTGTTCTTCTTGAGAGAACACAACGTGGTACTTTATTCTTTATTACGGTAAAGCTTATATTTCGGCAGTATCACTTTTTTCGGAGCCTGGAAGGGTATATTGATGCTCAATTCATTACGCCAAACGCTTCAACAGCACAAACAGAAGGATTAAAATCTGTTTGGTAATAAAGCTTTCTTGCTTGATCGATCGTCATCCAGTGATCGTTTGGGTTTACTTTAGTTGTTAATTAGTTAGTTACAGTGTCTAAGTTATCTTTTTAGTACAGAAGAATAGGATTTGGTACCGTCAATAATAAGGGATGAATTCAGTTAACTTCAGTCATCTCTTAACATCAGAGTCTTCGATGCTATATTTTCGGCTTATTTTTAGATCCGGAATGTGGGGCATTTGAAAGCAAAGTACTACTGAAATGGACGTGTAGGGATGCTGTTCATTGGCTGCTTTCATTGGGTGAGTTCTGATGTAAAATTCGTAATCTCTTTATCCTATATCCTTAATGACTTCTTAGGTCTAGACCACTGCAAGTCCTGTTGCATAGTGGATATGGCATACTGGAATCAATTTATCTATCCTTGTTCTTTATCTTATTTCTGTTTGTATTTTTGGCATAAACTATGACTGATTGGTAGGTATCCTACCGTAAGCGGTCAGCTCTAATCATTTTTAGGTTTTCTTTTATCTGCGTCCTCTAACTGTTGATCATTGTTTAGTGACATTCGGTAAACAGATGATCGTAGAAATTATTGATGGTGACCAGTGATGGTGACCAGTTCAACTATTCTTCATTTTGTTTCATGACCTCGTGGCGCGTGTGACGCAGTGGTCGAGCGCCACACGTGGAATCGGTCTCCGCGCCCATGGCACACCAAGCCTTCCATTCCTCCGAGGTCTGCAACTTGGTACCAGACTTATCTGGGAGGGTAGCAGCACTGGTTCGTTACATCGGTAGGCCACCGCGAGTCATTGTAAAGGCCAGATATGCATTCAGTACCCCCAAACGATGCTTAATGAAGTCGAATGCATGGCGCATCCATCAGGGATTGCTCAACGCCTAGAGCATTATTATTATCCTTCATGACCTCACATCGCATGTATAACATTGTGAAGAACTCAGCATTTCTTGTATTCTATTCTTTTTCTCGCAACCATCGACGAAGCTCTTGGAACATTTGCATGTACGTTCAGCTGCAACTGGAGAATTTTTGTCCTCATCATGAATGTCGTTGAATTCCAGTCGTGCGCATTTAACCTGCAATCCTAGGATAGCGGTGTTAGGTTTCCGTGAACTAGGGGGAGTTATTGGGTCCTAGGTAAGTCTAGTGCAAATTCGTTGACCCCGGAGATATGGGAAGCCTAATAGTAAGACTACGCTTTAATATGTAGGATTTTTCAAGATGACTGAAGGATAAAGATTTGATTCATCAACAAAAGTACGTTTCAGGTCTGGACGAGTATGTACCAGCATTCCAAGCTCGTCGTGTGGACGGTCGGGCCCTGATGAAGTGCGACCGGATCGCTTTCACCCAGTTGGGTGTGACACGGATTGCTCATCGACAGAAAATGGAGGCGTCTCTTCGGCAATATATGGGCAATGCATAACTTGCTTCAATCATTTTTCTACAGATTTCATGCTGTAGAAATTGTGCTTAATTGAGAAGAACGGTTATTCTATTCCACTAAAAGTCGTCGTTTGCTTCGATTCGAATGATTTTATGAAAGAAACGTGAGACCTGTGATTTTTATTAACTCGGAATAAAACGAGAGTTTAAGGACAAAAGTGAAAATATGAATCCGATAAATCTATTACTCGTTCAAACTAACAAAAAGATGCTGAACGATGGCTTCGTGATCCGTCTGTAGTGCCGCGTAGTTCCTTTCCCGGTCAGAAAATCGCTGTTCTGTACTGGCGACCAAAACTTTAGTGAAAATGGTTAATTTTGACTTCATGTAAGCAATCTTTTGAAAATATTCGTGGAGGGATTATAGACTAGAACGCTCTCTTAAGAAATATTTTTTCAGTTTAATATATCTCCTTCGGTCGTCAGAACACAACACTGGTCTTCTGACTCCAATTTCGCTTGTGTACTTAACTGCAGAAACCTACGGTTTGCAGCGGAAACTCAGTTTCATGACAAAGTTCTATTCGTCAAGGGAGCCATACGATTGAGCAGAGTCTGCATGTGGCCAGATTTTCGCTGGAGGCTCCTCACAGATCGTAGGGTCTAATTCCGCTGTGATTTCAGTCCCTACTAAGTGCTCATGTCCCTTGTCTAGCATTCTGATTTTCTTTCTTGTGGTGTCAATACAGGACCATTCTTCCCCATCCCCAGCGTTTATGTTCTGCTTTTCAGGCCTTGTGTTATGTTCGGTGCACCCGTTTATATTTTGACCATAGCGCTAGCATGTTTGATTCAGTGGAAAAGAAAAGCTGTATGCAGTGAGTTTTAAACAACTCTGAATCTTCTTGTACATCTGCCGTCTTCTGCGAATCCTAAATCACTATATCTACCCACTTTCTGGTATATCTTATTCTGAATAGTTAATAAGCTAAATGATTTTATTATTAATTCAAGGACTGACTTTCTTTTTTATTTTTGTTAATTTATTACCATTATTTTTCTCTACAACGTCTAGCGACGTAATCATGGTGTATACAGAAGAAATTTATGGACTCGTTGAGTTGTGAGAATAAATTCTTGATTAGGCTTGCATGTTTCTTCTAATGCGAGTGTTCGAAAACGATAAGATTCAGCTTCATGAGATCTCTGAATTCGTGTGAAGCAGTGGCTTCTGCGGAAAGTAGGATAGGTGACCTTGGGTACTTCGACGGCCCGTCTTCACTGGTTGTGTGGGCTCCAGCATAATCTGCATTTTTTCATTTTGCTGGCTAAGCCACTGTGGTTTCCTGGAGTCCCGAGGTCAGCCAGGTCGTCACCACCACAGGCAGTCGCCGCCCTTGTGGATCAGAGAAAGATTTGCCACCATCCAACTAGCTTGATACCAGGAAGGTAGTGGATCTTAGTATTGGTTTACTCTTAGCTAGTCTTCCTAGTGGAAACGTCGGACTCTTTCTCAGCTTGGAAGGCCCTACCAGGGAGATGAATTTCCCTGCTTTACATCGCGGCCCTACTCCCAGGAACACCTCCCAGCCACGATGAGACGGTAAACCGTTGAGAGTATTCCGATTATCAAAAAAAAATATCAGTTTGCAAAAAGCCAGCCTTGGTTTGTAAGTGTCAAAGGCGTTCTCCACTTTTGGATGAAAACGTTTACATTGTAAACGGATTGTTTGCCGGAATAAAATGTTTATATCGCGATCGCGAATCGACCACCTGTGGGCCATCGACTCGGATCAATATGGGCCTGAAGAAGATGAAGCCGCCGAAACGTTAGACAAGTGAATAAATTTTTTTGTCAACCTCCTGTTAGCTTAACAATTCAAGAAGGTATTGAAATCTTTATAGTTTAACAGTTTTTTTTCAGACAAACAATAAACAATGGCTTTAACGGTCGTCGAAATTAAAGGCGCGGGTCTCCTGTCGTGGCTTGCCGAGGTTTTTTCTTCTTGAACACAATAAATCTGTCCTTGTCTTTCTTTGATGGTAGAAGCAAAGCCGTTTTTGCCTGGAACAACAGCTTTACCATAATGAATAGTCTATAACTTGATAATAGATTTTACGGCAAAGAAATATTTAACCACAATTATGCCGAGGAATTTTTGCAAAATTCCGGATCACAGGTGTCTGCGGTGGAGAACGAACGCTACCCTTTCCTGTGGTTAACGCGTTCACCAAGCACCATGCGATTCTTCGTTCCCACTGTCTCTCAGTTAGTGTTTCATCGATCAGTGCTATCACCAATCACCGTTCAACGGGAAAAAACATTTATTATGATGAAAATTTTCGTATGCAGATAGCTTCACCTTTTGTGTCACTTAAACATTTGAATACGCATTTCGAAGCACCTATTCTGTAAACTTTAACATCACCTTCAAATCTTCCTGGAACCACTGAAGTGCTCTGTTCTTTTGACAGCGAAGAATGATATGATGTGGGTTAACAAAAAGAGGCAGTAAGCTTAACTCTTTTATTTACTGTCTTCTTCCTCTTAATGGCAGGGTATGTTGTGAAATACAACTCGTATGAAATGGTGAGATATTTGCAAAACTCCGGACCACAGGTGTATGCAGTGGGGAACGAACACGCGCTGTTGTCCTTACTGGGGAGCAGCGCACTTCACCACTACGCCATCCGGGTCCTTCGCCTTGCATGTATCTCAGCTAGTTATCTCAGCTCAGCGTTTCATACGAGTTATATTTCACAACATACCCTGCCATTAAGAGGAAAAAGGCAGTAAATAAAAGGGTTAAGATTGTGATTATAACGAG